GGCTTTGCTAAGGCTCAAACCTCAGGGCCTCCCGGGTAAACGACTGAACTGCACCTTGCCCTCCCCCCAATACTTAGCTTTACTGGATTTTAGTGGAAAATTCCACAGGATCAGGGACCTTGCCACAGTCTTCCGGCGGAGGATCAGCCTGCAACCCCATCCGTATCCAGCACACAGAGGGTCCCCTGAAAGCCTAACTCATAGGACGCCCCAGGCCATTCTTCCGCGGGCGAGGAGGCCCCAGATGCACCAGGCCGTTGCACAGATGTGCGGATGTGCAGCGATTGCCTTCCCGCCCAGCGGCTGAAAGGTGGGCGTGCAGCGCAGGGCCCAGGCTCCTCCTGCCAACTCCAGGTCACTTTCCAAAGAATCTGCCCTGGGCAAATTCCTGACCCCAAGCTTTCCTGCAGCTGCATCCAAGCCTACTATTTGGTTCACTCCAGCCCTTCTTCGGGCTTCCTCCTGCGTCCTAACCCAGAAATGGCCTCCCTGCCGGGTAGCCCCTGTCCCTAACTCGGACCAGCTCTTCCCCCTGGGGCTGCCAGGGATCTTAAAAACATTGCCTTGGATCAGGACACTTTACTCAGCTGCCTGTTAGGGATGCTTGGTAACGTCCAGAGGACCAGAGAAACTGGAGAAACAGGGTGCTTTTTGGCTTGCTCCCCTTTACCCTCCCCTAGCTATTGTGCACTGCATCTAGGAAGCCTGGGTTCTATCCTCAGTAGGGAAAAAAAGAGAAGAAAAAGAAGCAAGCAAGAAAAAGAAGGGACATCAGGTGTGTTGGTGCATGCCTGTATCCCCAACATTAGAGAGGCTGAGGCAGGAGGGTTGCCTAGGTTACATAGTTCAAGTCTACCCTCAACTACACAATGAGACTTTGAGTCCCAAAAACAACAACAGGAAAAGAAAAAAGGAAAGGAAAAGCCAGGTGTGTTGCTGCAAAACCATAACTTCAGCTGAGGCAGGAGGGTCACTTGAATCCAGGAGTTTAAGATCAACTTGGGCAACATAGCAAGATCCCCCTCTCAAAGATAACAAAATTTAATTCTTATTCTTATTAATTCTTCAGTTACCCCCTTACCTTTCAAGTTCCCTGTATGACTTGTGCTGTCTAATTGAACTGCATAGGTACAGAACAGCTCCAGTCTCTCCCAATGCTTTGTGGGACAGCACTGTTTTAGACCCAACATCCACTCAAAAGCTCTACATTCCTCTTTCTTCTTCTTCTTCTTCTTCTTCTTCTTCTTCTTCTTCTTCTTCTTCTTCTTCTTCTTCTTGTCTTTCTGAGACAGGGTCTCACTGTGCAATTCACATTGGCCTTGAGTTCACTTTGTAGCCCAGGTTGGTCTTGAACTCACAGCCATCCTCCTGCCTCAACCTCCGAGGTCCTTGGATTACAGCCATAAGTCATGGTACTCCCCTCTCATTCCTTATTTACTTATTTATTTATTTAGATAGACTCTTGTGATGGAGCCCAGGATAGCCTCCAGTTTGTGGTCATGCTCCTGCCTCAGTTTCCTGATCACTGGATTATAGGCATGGGCCACCAGGCCCAGTTTGTCATGATTCTTGGTGTGTGTGAGCTTCCTGTATGGTAAGTAGGGTCTACCTCTGAGCCACACCCTCGGTCCTTCATTATATTTATTCTGACATTAAACTGGGCGTGGTGGTGGTGCACATCTATAATCCCCACACTCTGGGTGGTTGAAGCAGGAGGATGGCAAATTTGAGACCAGCCTAGGCAATTTAGCAATATTTTCTTCAACTTAGTAACTTAATGAGACCTTGTCTTAAAAATAAAAACAGTGCCAGGGATGCAGCTCAGTGAGAAGGCGTTGGGTTCAGTTCCCAGTACACTATCCCTCCATGCAAATCTAATGCCATAAACATATTTCTTTCCAATACAAGACCACTCCTTACAGTTCATGCCAAAATCAGTTTTCTCTATTTTCTCATGTGCTTTGCACTTTTTTTTTTTTTTTTTTTTTTTGGTACCATGACCTCAAGCTTGTCACACATGTGCTTATGCCGCGGAGCTAAATCTCCAGCCCCAGTACTGTTTTGTGAAAGTGTCTCTGGGACTGGAGGTAGCTTGCCTACAGGCATGCAGCTCTGGGCTCCCTTGTTCATATTGCAAACAAGCAAAAAGACAAAACAAAAAAAACACAACCGTGTTTCTTTCTTTCTTTTGGTGTACTGGGCAACCTCACACTTGCCAAGCAGGCATTTATGCCCTTGAGCTAAGTCCCCAGCCCTCTACCTTTCCTTTGAAAAGTTACAGAGTATGGCATGGGTTGACTTCAATCAGGCCACTACAGTACTTATCACCCTGGAATGGTCACTTGCTTCCAGTTTCCCCAACTGTAGACAGTATTATGTCCAAATATCCTTGTCCTTCCTCCTGTCCTTGTGGATGTGTTTGTCCACAGCTGATACTCAGAGTACAACTGCTTGGTCATAGAATCATAAGCTAATAACCCTGGGTTTGGTATGCCCTACACTCCCACACGGATGCCTCTCCACATGACTAACTACTACTCATCAAGGCCAGTGGTGCCAGGTCCTTGGGAGAAGAGGTTTCTCCCACCTCTGTCCCCGCCATGGTCCATGTGGCATTGCTGTTGTACACTTAAGGCACAGCTTTATGTTCTGTGTGTTCTCAATACCTAGTATTGGATTTAGCTCAGAGGAAAAACCTCGGTGTCTTCTAGGCTGGGTGAATGAATAAATGAATGAATAAATAAATAAACAAAAAAGGAATGGTGCTTGAGAAATCCAGAAAGTCAAGGTGAGTCCCTGAGTGTCTTCTTCTTTGGCTGCAGACCAATTTGCCACTTGGAAAGCTGTCTTACTGGGTTTCTGTCTTTACCTGAGCCTCGGGCTCTTGTAGGTCACCTTGAGCCTCCTTTGGGTTGAGACTGTGTGATGCAGCTGTGTGATGAAGCTCTGTGATGCAGGAGCTCTGGCTGCACAGCCGGATATTTGACGGGTAGGGCGTGGCACTGGTGTGGAGTTGGTTTTCTGAGGACATCATGGTGTCCTTTTACCTTTAAAGCAGCCCATGGTGCTGTGGGTTTGGTTTATGTGATTTTTCCCTACAGTGCCTTTGGGACTGTGAAGATCAGCTGCAAAGTGTCTGTGTTCTGCTTCTCACTTCTAACCCAAGGGAAGCCAGATGTTTGCCCATGCACAGCTCCTTCTGCTTTTGGTCTGATGAACAGCCCTGTTCCCTGAAGTCTCTATGGCTCGGCCTCCCCAGATCCCAGAGCTTGGTTGCCAACTTTATTTTTAATGAGGTTTTAATAGGTAGCTCCTGTAATTAATTTCATCCTTGTATTTTCACACTTTCTGTCCAGGTATGTAGAGGCCCCCAGGCGATAGGTGGGCTGTTAACTGATTTAAAATAATACAAAGCACTGTGGCTGTTATTAGACATTTCCTCAGCTCCTCTCATTTGCAGTTGTTTTAGTCGTTAATGAGATGGGGCCCAGGGCCCGATGAAAGGTCAGCCCAGTCACCTGCCAGGTTTAATAAAGGTGGAAACAGAGATAAAGAGAGAAGAGACTTGTCCAAACCCCAAGAGAGTGGGTGTTGAAACTGGTTTCGGAAGCCACAGCCTCCAGTTTCATATCCACTACTCAAGGTTGATTTGTCACCCGCGGCCAGAGTCCGCCAGCCAAAAGTGGAGCGTCTTGGGTGCCTCCAGGCACCTTGGGGAGGCAGTCAGTGTTACCCTTGAATCACCCCCATTCATTCTCTTCACACCCCTTATCCAACTTGTGAGCGGACTCATTGGCTTCACTAACTCCTCCCAGATTTAGAATCAATGCGGTTTTCTTATTTTTAAAGCTGCCTTTTGAAAATTTTCATGCACAGACTCACGCTCCTCAAGGAGTGGGGGCTGGGGCGGGAGCGAGGGGACAGCCCGGGACCGGGTCCCCAGCGCGCGCGCCATCCCCCTGGGGGCGCTCTGCAGCTCGCAGGGGGTCTCTGTGCAACCCCCGCGGACTGGGATCTGGCCGGCCGGCGCTCCCTTTGGTCTCTGGGACGCAGGGCACCGCTGCTGGGCTACCGGGTGCAGAAGGGAGAGGGAAGAGAAGGGGCCGAGCAGGTGGCGATTAGGTCAGCTTGGGAACATTCTTGGACCGCTCTAGTGGCTATAAATAACAAGAGGGACAGGCTCCGAAATATCCCGAGGGGCTGGGGGTGATAGGGGTGGTGTCGAGGCAGGAAGGATTTCTTTTGGGTGATCGTGGTGACCTGGAAAAACTACGGCACTGATAAAGGGGGCAGAGAAGCGAAGGGCTTGAAGAATGAATCGCGGTATAAGATATGGCACGGAGAACGCGGAGAGGGAGGAGCTCGTGCCTTTTTGTCCCACCCCCACCGCGCGTTTGTCCCAGGCCTCAGAATGAGCCCCAGATTAGCAGAGCTGTACCGGCTCCCGCCCCAGCTTTACAGTCCAGCTCCGCCCACCCGGAGATAAGTCCCTGCAGGTCTCTGCCTCAGTTTCCACCTGCGGTACAACGGGGATCCTAATGCTTCCCAGGGAGGTAGTCGGAAGCCTCGCCCGAGAAACAGTCTAAGGATGCTGTGCTCAGCAAAGAATGCAAAGCATTGTAGCCCCCGGAGTCCCTAGAGGGTCGATTCAGGCCGGGTCCCCGCTCGCTCGCGGACCCGGGCTCTGCAGAGGTGCGGAGGGCAGAGCCGAAATCTGACCCTGCAGCCTCGCGGCGCCATCCTGGGGCATCAGCCCAGCGCCGGGCGCCCGGGGCGGACTCCGGAGCCCGCGAGCCGGGGCCGCGTACCTGGCCTCGGAGACTGGCCGTGGGGCTGGGGCCACTAGGGGAGGGCGGGGCCGGGGGCCGGGCTTCCCGGGGGAGGGACGGGCGCTCCGGGAGGCGGCGGCCGGGCGGGAGCAGAGGATTCGAGCCGAGCGTGGCCGGACCCCCAGCCGCCGCGGGCCCAGCGAGGAGCGGTGAGTGCCCGGGAGGGACTGGGAGGCGGCGGCCCGAGCTCGCCCCGCGGTCGCGCAGCTCCTGGAGTTGGCAGCGGGACCGGGTCCCGCCGCGGGGAACCCCGCTCCGCGTGAGGACGGGCAGGGCCATGCCTCGGGCTGCAGGGCAAGGGGCAGCATCGGGCAGAAGAGCAAACCATCTCTGGGGACCCGTCGAGGGCCCCCCGCCGCCCTCCTTGAGCTCCAGAAGGGTCCTCAGCTTCCCTGGGGACTCCTGGATCTCTGCACTGAGCTCCAGCTCCTGGGCCACCATCTGGAGGTGGCGGCGGGCCCAGCCCAGGCAAGGGGTGCCCCTTCCCTCCGCCAGGACCGGCTGGCCCCACCTCCGCCGAGACCAAGTTCAACAAGTTTGGCCGAGAAAGTCCCAGCGCCTCCATAGCAGGCCCGGCCCCGCCGCCGCGCGTGGGCTCCCGGGGCTCCTGGCTGCGCGGCGCCAGCAGCGGACTGGGAGCTGTCGAGGGGCGCTCCCAGAGCTGGAGGCTTGGGACTTGGAGTCTGTCATCTGGGAGTGAACGGGCACCCCCGCAGGCAGGTCGGGTTTCCAAAAGTGCCCCTTTGTTTTGCCCCTTCCTGGCCCTGCCTCCTCCTCTTCCCTGCCACCCTTCCCCCAGTCTCTAGGGCTTCTGGATGTGGGTGCCAGTCCCACGGGACAGTGACTGTCCCCTCCTGTGTCCTCGGATTCTAGGGCCTCAGGCTGGCCCAGAGGGGCTGCCCCTGGGAGAAGCCCTTGCGAGCAGTGACTCAGACTGCTTGGGCAGGACAGGGTGGCTGCGCTCCCTACCCCTGCGGTGACTCCAGCGTCTGCAGAGGAATGGGGGCCTCAGGTGGGAACAGCGGATGCTTCTCAAAGATGGGGACTTCCTAGCTTCCGTCTCCTAGCAGCTGCCAGGAGACGGAAGATTTCTCTGGGCCAAGTGGTGTAGGCACCCTGGATCGGAAAGGTTTCATTACCTGCTGAGCTCCTGCTTGTGTAGAGGGTGTTCTGCTGATTTAAGGCTCTGCCCGAGCCAGGAAGCATAAGGTGCCAACTGTCCTCAGCAGGGACCAGGGCTCCAGGCCACCCCCACAGCAACACGAAGCTAGGCTGTGGGGCCAGGCTGTGCCTGGGGCTGGGGTTTGTGTTTGCTCTATGAGGCCGAGGGAGCCGTGCCAGCCCTGCACACACAGCCTGCTCTGTTCTGGGGCCAGAGAGAGGGGACGGCTGGGGGGCAGCCCTCAGGGGAGCAAGCAGGAGGCCCCCATCCCTGATGGTTCCCTGGGACAGCTCCAGAGGCCCTGTGATTTATGGCTGCAGCTCTCTTTCTCTCCATCTGGCTTGCTTGTCCCTTTTGGACAAGTGGGGCAGACTTAAGAAAGACAGTGAGGTACTAGTGCCCTGTGCTTGGGCACCCCCACCCCACTGCCTGCACACCAATGGGCTCCCTGGGAGGCCTTGGTGCTCCCTTGGCAGTAGAGGCTGGAAGCACGGTGCTGGTCTTCAGGTGGACGTCTTCCTTCCCTTCTCTTTTTGGTGCTGAGCCGTGGACCCCAGATTTTGTGCCTGCTAAGCACAGCTTCTACCACGGAGCCACACTGGCTTTGGAGCTCAGGGATACACACATTAGAATAGCAGAAAAGCATCAAAATGCTTGGTGACAGATGTCATCCTGTTGGTCACAACCTGTGGGATATATGCCTTGAGCGAGGGGTTACAGGGCTGTTGGGAGACCAGTGGATGGAGGAACAAAGGGGAGTGACTGTTGGGAAGTGGCTCTTGTTAGCCTTACCTTTTTTTCCTCTTTGGTGATAGTGAAGATTGAACCCAGGGCATTGGCACTGAGCTACATCCCCAGCTCATTTTCACTCTTTGAGACAGAGTCTCACTAAGTTGCTAAGTTGCCCCGGCTGGGCTTGAACTTGTGATCCTCCTGCCTTAGCTACCTAGAGTGCTGAGATTGCGGGAGATGACCACCATGCTCATTTGACTTATTTGATTAGAAACAAGATCTTGATATATAGTTCAGGCAGGCCTTGAATCACAGAAGTCCTCCTGTCTCAGCTTCCTAAAGGCTGGGATTACTAGTGTAGGCTACCATGCCTGCCTGACTTTCATTTGATTTCTGAAGGATAAGTCAAGGTCTTCCCTTTGGAGGGAGCTCTGGCTCTGAGCCTGCTCTGGGGGTAGCAGGCAGACACTCTGTCCTCCCTAACCTGCTTGTCCCTTGGGCCTTAGGTTTGCTCAGAGAAGGAAGTGATCTCCTAGGGGCTATGAGTCAGTTGATGCAGTTTGGGGACAGCTGAGACTCAGCCCAGAGGTAGGACAGGAGTGGCTGCATGCCACTGTGTCTGATCTAGAGGCCTGCAGTCCCTGTTGCCTGCTGCTGTGATTCTGGAGAACTCTACTCCTGCCATGGCGCCTCAGACTCTGGACATTTTGAGGGCAGTGATGAGTTGCTTGTTATCCATGAGGTCCCGAGGGGCTCCACAGATGCTGTTTGGGACTCAGCAGTCCCTGGCATTGCTGGTTCATGGCCTGGTTCAGTCTGAACACCAGCCCAGGCATGGAAGCCGACCAGGTGGGCAAATTTCCACCAAAAGTGCACTTGTTCTGGCCTCTTGGCTTCTTTGTGCCCTTCCCAGCAGAGGCAGCTCCTGACTCAGCCCTGTCTACTAACGGGGTTGACCTATGGTTCAGGGGAAGGCACTAGGGGCCCTGGCTGGGCAGGAGTCCTTGCCCCTCTTCTGCCCACCGCCCACCCCCGCCTGCCATCTAATCCCGCCTGGATCGTGTGACCTGCCTGGCATTCCCCTGCCTGGAATCTGGCGCTTCTGACAGCAGTTGCTATATTGGGGGGGGGGAGCAGGGCACCGCCCTAGACACGGCCTCTGCCCTTACCCCACCGTGTTCTTAACTTCAAGGCAGTGTCGTGGTGACCTCCTGGAGAGCTGGACACTTGGGTCCCTGAAGTGATCTCTAGACTCCAGGTATGGGGGCAGGGAAGGGCACCCCACGGTGAGTACAGGAGCTTTGAAAGCAGCTATCGGCTATCATGGCCCCTCTCTGGGCTCCTCCTGGAACTTCAGCCCTGTGTCACCCTGAGTGCTGACAGTTCCTTGAATGCCAGGGATGGCACTGGGGGTGATGCCCAGGCACCAAGTCCAGCTTTTCTGCTTACTCCTGCTTTCCACAGCCTCCAGTCCGCCATCATTCCGTGCTGCGGGGACACCATGGCTCCAGAAGAGGACGCCGGAGGGGAGGCCCTGGGGGGTAGTTTCTGGGAGGTAAGCAGCTGGGGCTTCGGGGTGGCACTGAAATGCTCTCTCTTGTTGGGCTCAGCCACTTGGCCAGGGGAGGAGCCTAGCTGTTAGCCCCAGCCCGAGGGAGGCTTTTCCCTGGTGCAGCAGCTCTTGTCACCTGTACCCCCAGGCTGGCAATTACAGGCGGACGGTACAGCGGGTGGAGGATGGGCACCGACTCTGTGGGGACCTGGTCAGCTGCTTCCAGGAACGAGCCCGCATCGAGAAGGCCTATGCCCAGCAGCTGGCTGACTGGGCCCGCAAGTGGCGGGGCGCAGTGGAGAAGGGTGAGCCGCTGTGCAGGCTGATGGTGGGGGAGGGGACAGTGAGGGTGGGATGCTCCCTTGGTGCTGGGAATTGAACCTATACTAGACAAGCACTTTGCCTCTGAGCTACACTCCACTGCCCTGGAAGGGTAACTGGGAGTTCAGAGAGGCCAAGGGACTTGCCTGAGGTCACACAGCTTCAAAGAGCTAGGACTGGACCTCAGGCGTTTGATTGAGGGAAAGACCCAGGTGTGCAGTTTATGCATTCCCTGGGGTCTGATTCTGCTCCATTAAGTACCTGTAGTGCTTTGGACAACATTGCTTCTCTGGGCCTCAGTTTCTTCATCTGATCCACGCTAATCATGACACTGTCTTGACAGTGGTTGAAGCAGGGATTCAGTGAGGTCTCCTGGTTAGGATACAGAGTGAACATTTAGTGGGTAGCTGGTGACAGCGCTGTTCCCTTTGCACTGTGGGCACCGAGGCAGGACCCAGTGAGAGCGGTGGCTCACTGGGGACGTCACCTTCACAGGCCCCCAGTACGGCACGCTGGAGAAGGCCTGGCATGCCTTCTTCACGGCGGCTGAGCGGCTCAGTGAGCTGCACCTGGAGGTGCGAGAGAAGCTGCATGGACCTGACAGCGAGCAGGTGCGTGTCTGGCAGCGGGGTGCCTTCCACCGGCCGGTGTTGGGCGGCTTCCGTGAGAGCCGGGCAGCTGAGGATGGCTTCCGCAAGGCCCAGAAGCCCTGGCTTAAGAGGCTGAAGGAGGTGAGCCTGGGTGCACAGCAGGGCTGGAGGCGGGCACCTTCCAGGTGTGTGTGGGGACCTGAGGTTGGAGTGCAGCATCCAGGGCGCAGAGCTGTCCCTATGTGTGCCAGGTTGAGGCAGCCAAGAAGAGCTACCACACGGCCCGGAAGGATGAGAAGACAGTGCAGACCCGGGAGAGCCATGCCAAGGCAGACAGCACCGTGTCTCAGGAGCAGCTGCGCAAACTGCAGGAGCGCGTGGGGCGCTGTACCAAGGAGGCAGAGAAGGTAAGGCTGGGGACCGCTTCCCAGGCGCCTTCCCCACTACCCCTCTCACTTACAGGAAGAACGGGCTGGGGGTGCGGCTCCCTGGCAGAGCACTTGGGTAGAAGGTGCAAGGTCTCCTCCAGGAAGCCTTTCTTGATTTCTCTCACCTTTTGCATAGGTTGACTCTGTCTTGTTCTCCAGCAGGCTCTTAGAGGTGATGTCCTCTAATGTCACCTTCCGTGCTGGACTGCTGAGGTCCCTGAGGACAGGACCTCAGGCCTGGTTGCTCCTGGTGGCTTTGCCTGCTAAATGCAGATGTACAGTGCTAACTGGCCCCTACCTCTTCCACCTAGATGAAAAGCCAGTACGAGCAGGCGCTGGCGGAGCTGCACCGCTATACCCCACGCTATATGGAGGACATGGAGCAGGCCTTTGAGAGCTGCCAGGCCGCTGAACGCCAGCGGCTCCTCTTCTTCAAGGACATGCTGCTCACCTTGCACCAGCACCTTGACCTCTCCAGTAATGACAAGTATGGCACGGACATGGGGTTTCCTCTGTGTCTTGCAGGCCCTGGGATTGGGGGTTCCAGTGGCCTGGGACGTCCCTATCTGAGGAAGGTATCTCCTACCTTAGGTTCCATGAACTCCACCGAGACCTGCATCAGGGCATCGAGGCAGCCAGTGATGAGGAAGACCTGCGCTGGTGGCGCAGCACCCATGGGCCAGGCATGGCCATGAACTGGCCACAGTTTGAGGCATGTATTGCATGCCAAGTGGGGCTTGGGATGAAGTTGGTGAAGGTTACCCAGTCTGACCTGATGCACTGTCCCACAGGAGTGGTCCTTGGACACACAGAGGACAATCAGCCGGAAGGAGAAGGGTAGCCGGAACCCCGATGAAGTTACTCTGACCAGCATCATGCCCACAAGAGATGGCCCTGCACCCCCACCCCAGTCCCCAGGGTGAGAGCCAGGGGCCCAGCTGAGGCTAAGAAACAGCTCTGCCCCTTGCCTAGCCCACTTTCTCCTCTCTCCTTTGTTTCTTATCCAGCATGAAGTGGGTTGAAACCTGCACCCTCACGAGAGGGCTGACTTAGGACAGGTTTAAAATTGCCAGGCAGTTCCCACTAGAGTGTTCCAGCTCCTCCCCACCTACCCCTGCAGGGTCCCTGTGAGGGGTGAACCTTTGTCCCTGAGTCCTGGGGCCTGAGCTGCCTGCTCTGCCTCCCTTCTCCAGTGGGCAGGATGAGGAGTGGTCGGATGAGGAGAGCCCTCGGAAGGCTGTCACCGGGGTGCGAGTGCGGGCACTCTATGACTACGCTGGCCAGGAAGCAGATGAGCTGAGCTTCCGAGCAGGTACCTTGGGGCCCCTTTCTTGTTCCTTCCCAGGCTCAGTCGCTGCTTTACCTGCCAGGGCGGGGGAGTGTGGGGGAAGCCAGGTACCTTCCTTCTCAGCCCCAGTTCTGTGGCTGGTTTGGGTGCAGTCAGCTAGGGCCTGATTGCTGCCTCTGGGGTGTGCAGTGGGGCAACTTGGTAATGGCCACCTCTCCCTTACCTGAGCCCTATCCCTCCTTGCTAGCTGGCTGGCAAGCCGTCATTCTACCCTACCACCCTCAGTCTTTGAGTCAGTAGTGGAATGGCTGGGCCTACAGCATTTGGCAGTGACAAAACTCCTTTCCTCAGGAGAGGAGCTACTGAAGATGAGTGAGGAGGATGAGCAGGGCTGGTGCCAGGGCCAGTTACAGAGTGGCCGCATCGGCCTGTACCCTGCCAACTATGTGGAGTGTGTGGGTGCCTGAGTGCCTGGTAGTCCTTCGGCAGTCTCTTCATCCCAGCTGCTTTTGGACAGCCAGAACAGAGGGCCCTGAATCATCACGCTGCTGCTGCTCCTTTGTCTCTTGAGGAGGGAGGAAGTCCTGCGACCCAGGGAGGGGAGAGGTCTGTGCCAATTGCTTCTAGGCTGAGGGCAGGAGGTTGGAGAGGACAGAAGGACCCAGGGCTGCCCAGGACTGCCCTGGCCTTCCCAGAAGTGCTGTGGGTGTCTTCAGGAGCTGAGGATGTTCTCTGGCCTCCTGGGGTGGACTTTGGAGGGAGTGTGGTCCTGGACTAGTGGCACCCTCTTTTGTGACTTGTTCTAGTGTGTATTAGACTTGAAAAAAATAAAAAAAGAAGCACTATCAGGCGGTGTGTGCGTCTTTTTGATATTGAAGCCCTGCACCCGGAGGGAGGCTCTGGGAGGACGGGGTTGGGCATTGGTTTGCCAGCTAGTTCCTGCGCTGGAACATCACGACCCTGAATCTACAGGAGTCATCGATCTAGCTCGAGGCTAGGTGCTGGCTTGTGAGCTGTACAGGAGTCCTGCCAGAGTATCTTCCCTTGCGGATTTGTGGGATAACAAGAGTTCGGGAGGATTGTTAATCATTACTTATCGATCAACAACTTGCCAGACATAGGGCCCGTAGTCCACGCTCTTGGAAGGCGACTCCGCCTTCTCGTCATCCGGGGACCCCCCCCCCCCCGGGAGAAGATTTGGACCAGCTCGCGACCCGTCGCCCACCCCGGCGGCAGATGGGCCGCCGTGGACTAGCCTTTACTCTCGCGGCCACTGTAGTGCTCACGGCCGCTGACGTACGCTCCTTGTGCCGCCCGCCGCTCATTGGTCCAGAACCCGTCCAAATCACCCCACCCATCGGTTAGCTGGATTAGCCCGTCCTCCCAGTCGCGGATTGGCCTGCGACAGCACCCGTCGGTCGCAGTTGTGTCTGGGAAGGAGAGAAAATGGCGGCGGAGCCGAGCAAGACTGAAATCCAGACTCTTTTTAAGAGACTTCGCGCAATTCCAACCAACAAGGTGTCTGAGCAGGAGGGCCGCGGGGTCTGGCGCCGGCAGAAAGGGAGACTCCTGCCCCCTGGCGTCTGAGGAAGATACAGAAGGGCGGATGTGGGTGGTTTTCTTGGGTGTCAGCGTCCGGCCTCCTCTTGGGCACCTTACTATTCGCTTCTCGCCTCTACTCAGGCCTGTTTCGACTGCGGCGCCAAGAGTCCAAGCTGGGCCAGCATCACGTATGGTGTTTTTCTGTGTATCGACTGCTCCGGGGTGCATCGTTCTCTGGGGGTCCATCTGAGCTTTATCAGGTAGGTTCTTGGCGAAGATCGGGGCCACCTCGACTCGAACTACTCCAAATTCAGGCTCTGCGGTCCAGTAACCTGCGGGAGGGGACCGGCTGTAGGGGCATCTTGCCAAATAAGCTGTTCATCTCTGGATCAAACCGCCTTTATTTCCTCAACATCAAACTTGAGACTTAGGGCTAGTTTAGGGCAGAGGTAAGCCACATTGACCTTTCTGCGGTTAGAATGGCGAGGATGTCTCAGTGAGACTGTAATCAACCCCAAGGTTAAAACCAAATTTAAGCTTTCGTGCCTGAGAACCAGATCTCCTTTCAGATCTGGGGAAGTAATTAGCATCCTTTGGAATAGGTGAGGGAAGACCAAATTCTTCAAGTCCAGGGCAGAGTGAAGGAAATAGGGCAGTGGCCAGCTGCCTCCAACACCCTGAGGCCAGATCAAGTATGGGCTTGCCAGAGATACATGTCTCCTGCTGTCTGCTTGGCAGTGACACTTAGTCCTTGTACATAGGTCCACAGAGTTGGATTCCAACTGGAGCTGGTTCCAGCTGAGGTGTATGCAGGTCGGCGGGAATGCCAACGCGGTAAAGCTCCTTTACTTCTCTCAATCCCCATTCTTTTGCCCAGCTACCAGCTTGGCCATGAGGGAGGCCCTTTCTGTTTCTGTTTAGAGAGTCTCTGGTCTATGACAATACCATGCAGTGTATTCTTAACTTGAAATTGGTCACAGCTCCTCTTTCAAGGCCTTCAAATTCAAACTGTTGGACAAATGTTCTTGGGAGAAGGCAGAGAGAATTTGGGCTTCCACTGCCTTTCACAAGTCTTGAAGGCCTGGTGAGAGGGAAGATGGGTAGAGTGGGTTTGGCATGCTATTCACAGGCGGGGTTGAGCAAGTGCTAGGCTTCAGTCATCTTGGATAGAAGGTGGCAAGATATTTTTTGCAAGAATTTCAAAGGAACTTTACCTCTATGAAAAACTACTAGTATTAGTAATGTGTGATCTTGTAAAAATCCTAACCAGGTTCTTACTAGGAGGTGTCTGCTACAGCATATGTGTTATACAGTGCTGAGACTCACCTGTGGCATGTTCTGCTCTTCTCTGCTGTTTAGACAGCCTTTTTCCGTCAACACGGATGCACAGCCAACGATGCCAACACCAAATATAACAGCCGAGCTGCCCAGATGTACCGGGAGAAGATCCGGCAGCTGGGGAGTGCAGCCCTAGCTAGGCATGGCACTGATGTAAGTGCCTGTTAATTGGGTTGGGGTGGTAAGGTGAAGGTGGCTTCAGAGCCTCATGTTTTGGGGACCCTTCTCTCTTCCAGCTTTGGATAGACAACATGAGTAGTGTGCCTGGTCACTCCCCAGAGAAAAAGGACTCTGATTTCTTCAGCGAACACACTCAGGTGATTACTCACAGAGGTCCCCCACCCCCACCCCCATAGTTCTGACATGTGGCTTGCTTAACCAAAGCTAAGGCCTTCTATAGATTGCCTCTGCCTTGCTGTGATCACTTGTTCAGAGGCTGCCTGGGGCCTGCATATGGGCGACTGCTGCTTGCTGGGTAGGCATAGTCCTGTGAGTGGGAGAATGATGGAGTCCTAGGAAATGGACTTCTCTGAACTGGGGAGATGCAGAGGATGAGAAGCTTCTTGGTGAAGACTCAGGAGTTCTCAGGCTCCCTAAATGACTTTTCCTAGATTCTTCCCTAACAAAAGTACTCTAGTTGGGGACAGCAAAAGGATTCTCTCCCCCAAGACCAACTCCTATGAAGGATTCCCTTCTATTGGCCCTGACTGTTGAAGTCAGACTTGAGTTTGTATCCCTACCTTTCTACTTGGCATTGCTGTGATATTGCCAAGTCACTAAACCTGGCAAAACCTCATTTTCTAACATGGAGACATAGCTACCCATAGGACTTTTCCTTATAATTACATTTATATATAAGGAGCCTTTGTGCCGAGTGTGTGGTCGGTGCCCAATAATTAGGGGGATGGACCGTGGTTGTGAGTAAACTGATGACAGCTCCCTGCAGCTCTCTTCTGCGGTGTGTAGCAACTGTAATTTTATTTGCTAACTTCCAGCCTCCCTTCCTTGTGGGCTAGGAGGAGGGAGGGCTTCATGCCCATGAGGTTCCTGTGGGTTCTGGGTATCCTTGCCAGCATGGGGGCTCACAAGGGTTTCTGTGATCTGGCTTCCTTTTCAGCCCCCTGCCTGGGATGCAGCCACCACTGAGCCCTCAGGGACCCAGCATCCAGCTCCATCTATAGAGAGCAATAGCCTGGCACGTGAGTTCAGCCTCAATTCTACCCACTTCGCTGTAGCTGGATCCACTTCCCTGTAGCTGAAAGAACTTAGGGCCAGGAAGGGAACATTTGGCCAGTGGAGTAGAAGTGTGGGGAGACTTTCTAGCTGTTTGGTTGGAATGACATTCATTTTAGTTCCTTGGACAGAGTGGCGGGCATTTATGTTTTGGCAGTAAGTTGAGGAAGTCTGGTGATTCTCATCTGTCACTTCCCTCCCCCGGGAAGTCACTTACCTAACTCTTGGCTTTGCATCCACAGAACCAGAGCAGGGCCCCAACACCGACCTGCTTGGCTCTTCACACAAGGCCTCCCTGGGTCAGTATGCCAGCTGGCGGGTGGGCTGGCTGGGAGAGGGTGGCCTCAGCGTCCTTTACAGGTTTCTGCTGCTTGGTCATGTGGACTGAGGCTACAGGAGACAGTGTACTTGACCTTTTTTTTTTTTTTTTTTTTGGTACCAGGGACACCTGACTTTTCTGGGCTGGGGACTGATTGAAGTCATGACTACATGGTCAACCTCTGTGCTTGACCTTTAAATTGACAGCCCTGAGTGGGCTGAGTGGGTTGTGATCCAGCTAAAGTGTGGGAGGCCACCATGAAATCAGATGTCTGTCATGGTACCTGCAGGGCTTGCCTGTGGGTCCATTCACAGCACAGGAGAACAGATCTGGGCTCCTGATGGCTGGAGGCAACACTGTCCTTTCAGCGCCAGTCTCTGGCCTGTCCTTCAACTGTCTTCTACTTTTTTCAGTGGCCTTCCAGTTCGGGTAGGGTAAACAGTCCCTTTGCTGACCTTAGTATGTTCTGTCGACTCTTTGGTGGTTGGGGCAGGCAGCCAGCAGAGCAGCTGTCCGGCTGTCCCCACACAAGGGTGGCGTAGTTGGTCTGCAGCAGGTCTGTGAGGCTTAGAACTGGCCCTGTGTTACCATCAGGTCTGTTTCTCCTCCAGAGTCCATGTATCTGTCAGCTGCAGGGGCTCCTCCTGCCCAAGGTAACCAGCAGCTGCTTGGGGCACTTGGCTTTGGGAGTTGAGGCTGTTGGGCATCCATGGTCACTAACAGTCTTCATTTCGGTTCAGGGACTCGACTGTCTGTGCTTTAGATCTGGGCTCCCTGCACAACATGCTGGGTGTCAGCAAGCACCTTAACCTTGTCTGTCTGTGGCTTGGATGCCACCTGGTGTGATTGATGGTGGCAGCTTCACCTTCTCTGCCTTAAAGCTGTTCTTTTTAGCTGCTCTTGCCATGGTGCTGCATGGTGTCGCCAAGCCACAACCTCCAACCTTCCCTGATCTAGCCCATGGCTGTCCCCTTTCTCACACAGATCTGAAAAGCTCCATCATTGGCAAGAAGAAGCCGACAGCAGCCAAGAAAGGGGTAGGTGGCAGGGCAGTTTGGCAGGGTGTTTGGATCCAGCTCGAGTTGGATGGCCTCATTTGCCTCAACCTTGTCATGCACTGGCGGTACTGCTGTGGCACGGATAGCTTAACACGCCTGACTGCCTGTGCGAGGGATTTAGAGATGTCTGTCTTCAAGAGGTTTCTGGGACAAGGCGGCAAGGTGGAATGAGACCCCTGGCTAGCAGAGAGCTGGGCACATGGGAACTGTAGCGTTAGTGCCAGCGTCTGCCTGGCTCCAGCAGAACCCCTGTTCTGATTCAGCCATGTTCACCAGCTCCCATTTGTGACCCTGAAGCCTAAAAAGGGCCTTTACTGTGAGTGTGGCCAGAGCATCTGTGCTTGGAGGGGAGCAGAGGAGCCTGGCCATGAGACCCATGGCACCTACTTCCCTTCCCAGCTGGGGGCCAAGAAAGGCCTAGGGGCCCAGAAGGTGAGCAACCAGAGCTTCAGCGAGATTGAACGGCAGGCCCAGGTAGCCGAGAAGCTCCGAGAGCAGCAGGCAGCAGATGCCAAGAAGCAGGCGGAGGAGTCCTTGTGCGTGTTGGCCACGGGGGTGGCGGGGCAATGTGGGTGTCAGGCTGTGACACTCCCTGTCCTTCAGGGTCGCCTCCATGCGCCTGGCCTACCAGGAGCTCCAGATTGACAGGAAGAAGGAGGAAAAGAAGCTACAGAATCTGGAAGGGAAGAAGCGGGAGCAGGCCGAGAGGCTGGGCATGGGCCTGGTGTCTCGCAGGTGAGACCTGGCAGGGCATGGTGGGCAGCGTCATCGGGTTCCTGGGAAACAGTTGGGCTCCATCTAGTAGTTTGGGGTTCTGCCCTTAGTCTTCCTCAAGGCTGACTGTACTGTGTTAAAGCACCTACTGCAGCACTGAGGGATCAGAAGTGCTGTGCACATCAGACAGGATCACACATCAGACAGGATGGAGTGCTGGATACAGCTGAGAGCTTGGGGTGGGGCTCGGCACAGGAATGCTAATGGCAAGGTGCAGGTGGGTCTCAGCACCCTCCTGAGACCTGCAGGTCCTGTAGTGTCTCATTTTTGTTGTGCTAACAGCTACCCCCAGTGTTTTGTGTGCCCTTGGGGCAGGCATTATTATCCTTTCTGTTTCAGAACTACTGCTTGTATGGTTTTCTTAACCAGAGTGAGTACTGCAGACCAACTAGTACGTTTTTGTCCTGCTGTGAGTTAATGTGTAGAGATTTGATCTCTTAAAAATTGAAGGGTCAGGCTGGAAGTTTAGCTCAGTGGCATACGCCCTTTCTTTTTTTTTTTTTGTCTTTTTCCTTTTTATCGGTACCGGGGATCAAACTCACGACTGCCTGCTTGCAAGGCAGGCGCTTATGCCGCTGAGCTAAACCCCCAGCCCCCATACGCCCTTTCTTGGCAAGCACGGTTGTGAGTTCGATCCCTGGTACCAAAACAAAGAAAAAAAAATGGAAGTGTCTAGCTTGCCTTGGTGGTACACACCTGTATCCCAGCTCCCTGGGAGATTGAAGCAGGAGGAATAAAAATTTGAGTCCAGACTAGGCAACTTAGTCTCAATATTTAAAAAAGGGAGGGTGGTAGTGGTGGCTGGGGACATAGCTCAGTGCAAAGGACCTGAGTTCAATCCCTAGTACCAAAAAAAAAAAAGGAAAAAGGAAAAAAAATTCAGAATATCTGATAGTACTAGGTGATCACTGTCCATTTCCAGGAGGTATGAGCTTAGATGGGGCCATATTTACTTAGACGTGGTAGTGCTTTTCAGGAAGTATTGTTACTCCTTTGTACAAATGAAAAAATTGAAACAGTAGTTAAGTACCTTGCATGGAGCCTAGAAGTCTAGTAGCTGGCAGAACTAGGTTTTTTTCAGTGCTAGGACTGTAGTCCACGGGCTTGTGGATGCCAGGGAAGCGCTCTGCCACTGAGCCTTGTCCTTAGCCCTGTTTGTTTTGAGACAGGGTCTTGCTGAGTTGCCCAGGATAAGCAAATGGAGGATGAGCAGGTGGAGGATCCAGGATGGCTTGCCTTGAACTTGCAGTCTTCCTGCTTCAGCCTCCCAAGTAGCTGGGATTGCAGGCCTGTGCCACCATGCCTGGCTTAAAACTAGATTTTGAACATAAAACTGTTTGCTTTTAAATTCAGTATTTTTTTAAAAACTCATTTACTTTTGTGGCACTGAGGATTGGACTCAGGGTACTCTACCCCTCTTGCCAAGTTGCCCAGGCCGGCCTCAAAGTTGTGTTAAGTAGGTGGGATTATAGGAGGGTAGCATTGTGAGTCAGTATTTTTAGTTATTTTTTTCTTTGGAAGGAGATATGGCTGTGTATTTTAATTTTTCAGAACACATTCTGATTGTGAAGTTTTTGTTGTGTGTGTTGTTGGTGTAGTCATAACTAATCAGCAAAACACACTGAGTCCTGAAAAGGATTTGAGGAGATACTACATTTACTAAATTTATATTCTCTGTTTTGGTCACAGAAGGGTGACTGCGTTAAAGGCCATGAACAACTTCGCAACTGTTTTTTTCTTCGTTTGCTGTACAACAAACTCTATTATTCAAATACACCCTACCCTATCTAAAGCCAGTTGTAAAACATTCTTTGGGAGGTAGGGAGCCTGTTCTTCCAGCCAGAAACTATAGATAGTTTCTAAAGCATTCATTTGGTGCCCATGAATCCTGCATGCGCCCCTGTGGAGCCTGGCAGAGGAGGGAGGCCCACAGCCATCCCCTCATCCCCCACCCTTGTCCCCAGAGAGTGACAACCACCTGGGCGCTTCATCTGGGCCATACTTGGGGTGCTTTCCAAGGAACGGGATGGTTAACTTCTCCTTGATGCCCTGGGTCGTCTGCTTATCTGGGCATTTCTCTTGCTCGGGGCTTTTCTCCTCTGGTACACCAAGTAGGGGATGGTTGTCTAGGATGCAGCACTTGTGTAGTGCAGCTGGTAGTAAGGTGCTCACGGGCAGCAGCTGCTGGCCAGGGACGCTCTTCCAGGACGCTCTTCCCCCCAGTTCACCAGCAGTGCCTGGTGTCCCGCTGGCCTTGTCCTAGATGGCCAACACCCCACATGGTACACAGCAGGGAGTGAAGGGGGAAGTGAACCAGCAGCCAGGTGGCTGCTCCTGTGCCACGATGCTGATGCCATCCACATGCCCGTTCCACTTCTGCACAGCTCTGTCTCCCACTCCGTGCTGTCTGAGATGCAAGTGATCGAGCAGGAGACCCCAGTGACTGCAAAATCCTCCCGCTCACAGCTGGACTTGTTTGATGATGTTGGAACTTTCGCCTCTGGGCCCCCAAAGTAAGGCTGCTGCTGGGGCAGAGACTTGGCCACCATATTTCTCTTCAGGCTGCTTTGAGCCTCTCTGCTGTCTTGCTAGGTATAAGGACAACCCATTTTCCTTGGAATCCTTTGGTTCTCGCTGGGACTCAGATGCCACCTGGGGTATGGACAGGGTGGAAGAGAAGGAGCCAGAAGTGACCATCTCAAGCATCAGGCCTATTTCAGAAAGGTACAGGGGGTCTGGGGCAGCAAATACAGCAGGACTTCTGGTGACGATGTCTGTGGCCATGTGGGGACCACTCGCTGTGTTGATCTCGAGCCCTAAACATGTGGCTATAAGGTGGGGAGCTGAATTGCCAATGTCATTTTGTGTAGTTGTAAACATAGCATCGTTGTAGCCCCCTGTGGTAGGCACTATCTCAGTATAGAGAGTGAGGGGACCCAGCTTTGGTGTGAGCTGTGCCTTACCACCAAGAGCCTGGGACCTTTGTGGCTTCGGAGCCGTTTCTCTGGCAGAAGGACCCTGATTTTACCTGTCAGCCCTGGTCTCCTTTTTTTTTTTTTTCCTGGGCCTCCTTCTTAAAGGCTGTGTGTTTGGTCCCCTCCTAGTCATGTGTTGGTGGTGCTGGAGATGGAGCTAGGTTCTTCCTTGCCCGTGTTGCTGGAGTGCTGTCACTGAGCTGCACAGTGGCCCCTAACTTATTTTGTCTTTTTCATTTTTTATCGGTACCAGGGATCAAACTCACGACTGCACACTTGCAAGGCAGTCACTTATGCTGCTGAGCTAAATCCCCAGCCCCCGCTAATTTATTTTTTAAAAACTTGACTCCATGTTGATCTGAGCAATGATTTGTTGGTAAGTTACCTGCAGATCATTTGTGAAACAAATAGCCACTTCACAGAGTTGCTGGAAGAATTAAATGTGATCCTTGTGCAACCCCTAGCCTGGTGTCTGTGCATGGAGGCTGTCAGAGCAAACTGAGCCATGTGGTCACCCCAGTGTTGGGCAGATTGTCACTGGGGCCAAAGTAGCTGTAGTGACGGTATGGGCTGGACCTTGGGATGTCACAGTGGGTTGGGGCCAAAGCCCAGGCTCCCCCAAGCCAGGTTTCTATGCTGTGCTGGGCTCTGTAGAGAATGGGGGCTTTTGAGATCCTTTGGAGATTCTGTCCCTGGGGAGGGGGTTTCTGTGTCCCAAAGCCACAGGCAGAACTATGGTTTCGGACCTTTCTGCACCCCACTCAGAGCTACAAACCGGAGGGAGGTGGAGAGCCGGGGCTCAGGCCCAGAGTCCAGTGAAGCCCAGCAGAAGTTTGCAGGTGCCAAAGCCATCTCGTCGGACATGTTCTTTGGGCGGGAGGTGGACACTGAGGTGAGTGCGCTGGGACGTGACACTGCAGGCGACAGGTAGAGGTGAGAGCTCCCTGCCTGCCCCCATCCCGGGCTTCTATGTCATTGCAGCTTGGCTGTGTGAGTTGTCACCTTCCTGGCTGAAGGTCCCCAAGCCGTATTTTTCCTTCACAGTACGAAGCCAGGTCCCGTCTGCAGCAGCTCTCGGGCAGCAGTGCCATCAGCTCTGCAGACCTCTTTGGGGACTCGGATGGAGCTCATGGAGCAGGTAGGGCTGTGGTGTGTGGCGGGCTCTGGGAGGGCTGCCTGCGGGGCTCCAGGTCACCTCCCTTGCCTTTGCAGGAAGTGTGTCTCTGGGGAATGTGCTCCCTACTGCTGACATCGCACAGTTTAAGCAGGGGGTCAAGTCTGTGGCTGGCAAGATGGCTGTGCTGGCTAATGGGGTGATGAACTCACTGCAGGTGAGTACAGACTCCAGATGGAATGCAGTGTCTTTTTTCTTGGCTCTGTCCTGGGGCTCTGTGCCGTGGGATGCTGTTGTGTTGTAGTTCACAGTCTTGTTCCTGGGCTGTGTCCCCTCTCTGTGGTATGATATATGGGAGGTGGTGCACATCTGGGTGTCACAGTGGCCTAGAAGCTGACTTCATTTTTCATGTTCCCACCCCAGGATCGCTATGGTTCTTACTGACCCCAGCCCTGTGGTTCAAGCCCATGGCAGTGTCAGCAGCAGGATCCCTGTGACTGCCAGGCTGGTGACACCTGCCTCGTGGACACTGGAGAAGGTTGGCAACTTCTCTATGTGGTGTGCCAGTGGGCGGCCTTGGAGGACCAAGGGCAGGACCGCATCAGTGCTTGCCTCGCCTGGCCTGTGGATTGTGCCCCTTCTTGTCCCCTCAAGCCCTCCTCCATGCTGGCATCCCAGGGCCCTGCCCAAAGCTGCTGCTCATTTGGCTATGCTGAGAGGAGGGCAGGCGCCTGACTTGGCTCTGGTCAGCGCTTCTCTTAGGGCAGTGAACCACGCAAGCTTCTGTCAGCTCTCTGGGGTCGTGGGCTTCCTCTGCTCTGTGGTGGGGGAGCCCCCCTGGGGAGGCCCTGGACTTTCCCCACTGTCACTGGTAACCTCTTCTGGGTGCCAGGGAGAACAAGGGAAGGATGTTGGGGACTAAGGGCTAGAGACTACCCAGCACTTTCGGTTTCCTTTGGGACGACCTGGAGGCCCGAGTGATCCTCTCCTGCCTCCATCTGGGAGGCTGCCTGCTGCTGTCTGAGCCCCCACATCACTGTGGCCACGGCATCCCTGACTGTACCCATCCCTCCTTCCTACTCTGAGCTGGGAGTGTATGCTACACTCACACTGCCAGCCAGAGGTACTGGGATAGGATCAGGGACAGGATGGGGGACAGGGATAGAGCTCGCTGCAGGCTCAGCTTCCTCCTCTGCATTCTCTGGGGCTAGGGTCTTGGCCAGCACCCTGGTGGCGAGCACTTGCAAGGCCTACAGCAGGCCTCATCTCTGGCAGCTGCGCCACACACTGTGTCATCTTGGTGCCATCTTCTCTGCCAATGCAGCAGTCTGGGCCCAGCCCCTACCTGGGGGTGGTGAGTTGGGCCCCAGGGACACAAGACCATTCGGCCCTCCCCCCGAGGGACAGACTTCTTTCAGGACTGTTTGTATTGAAACAAAGCGGTGTCAATAAAGCCCCCACGGGGCCTGTGGTCAGCAAGGCCTGGCCTCTTGCTGCCTCCCCACCCGCCCGGCTCATTCGGGCTGCCACCAACTTGGCTTGGGCGCTTTCTCCGGGGCCTCCAGCTTGTCTCTTCATGGAGCACCCGTGGCCCCCGGCTCCTTGGCCCTGTGCTGCCTTGGGGTCCGGTGCAGCCTCGACCTCACCACCCTGTGGCACGCGGAGGAAAGAGCTGGTGTTAGCAGGCCCTGGCACAGAGCCGGCAGGTGGAGGGTAGATGGTGGGTCTGTGCTCCTAGGTGGAGTGGCAGAAGTTCTGGGCATTCGGGTGGTGGTGGTGGCCCTCCCTATCCCTGCAGGACCCCTAGACTGCCGTGTGGAACAGTGGGAGGGGGCAGAGGTAGCCCTGGGCCCTCAGTCAGCTGTCCGCCTGGTGTCATTGGGACGTCCATGGAGTAGTCCAGGGACCTGTGCCAATCTGCAGGAGCCACCAGGCACAGCTTCACCGAAGCTCTGACACCACTGGGCCTGGGGAATTCTCAGCCTTCAGGTTGGAACCATTTGGGGATGTGATCCTAGCTCTGGAACAGGGCAAAGGGGACCCAGCAAATGTGTGTCCCGTAGTGGTAACACTACCTTCAGAGGACACAGGCAGCTTTGCTTGGGCCTAAGGTGTATTTTACCCTGGAGAAGCCCCACCTCTGCTGCCTTGAAACAGAAGCCCTCCTGCCTCCAGCTGTGAGTTTACACCTCAGGCCCGTTCCTCCCATGGCAAGGAGGGACCCAGGGTTTTTGCACAGAGCTGTATGAACCTTTTTTAAAACGAGGCAGGGTCTCCATAAGCATTGAATTGTTCTGGGAGGGTTTGAATGTGCCATCCTGCCTCCACCTCTCAGAATGCTGTACACCTCAGGCCTGTTTGTTCCCAACCACAGGCCCTTACTAACACTGAGCAGGTGCTGGGTAAAAACTTAGTGAAACCGTGACAAGGCCAAGCAGTGGAGCACTTTGTGACTAGAACCTTGGGAGGTCTGGGGACCTGGCCTGAGCCCTCTGCCTCCTAGGACCAAGCCAGCCATGCGTGGGAGGTGACCCCCCCTCCGCTGCCAGCCAGAAACACTCCGGATCCAAAGTCCTTTCCCTCGCCCCGCCCTCTGCTGCAGACTCACCGCTCACCACACACATGGGACTTTATTAGTTAGGGTTCTGCAGTGAGGCACACAAGACTTAAGCGTGGGTTTGGAAGCCACACTGTCGCCCACTCCTCCCTCCTCGCTCACACCACCGTAGGTGTCCACTCGGCGCACGCACTTAGGTGGCACCTGAGCCCCATTCCTGCTGTTTCCCCTCTGCGAGGTGGTCTGAGGGGTCCCAGCTCGGGGCTGTGGCGGGGCTGCTGCTAGGCCGCTCGCCGGCAGAGGGCAGTGCGGGGGACGCGGGGCCTGCGGCCACCTCAAGTCTCCGACTCATCCGTCTCCTCCGTGGAGCCGTCGCTCTCCGTGTCCACCTTCCGGGGGTGGTGGAGGGGTCTCCACGGGGAGCCCACCCGGGGCGGGGTCCGGGAAGGTGGGCAGCCGAGCTCCGGGGTGGCAGTGACCGCGGGGACCAGGCCGGGGACCTGGGCGAGCCTAGGGAAGGAGGGAGGGAAGAGCCGGCCGGGCAGGAAGTGCCCAGCCTGGACCAACTATCCTGCTGGGGTGGGGCTCCCCAGAGCTGGCCGCGCATGAGCAAGGGTGGTTCCCGCGAGGTGGCAGCATCTACCCATGGGACACTTACAGCCGCTCTAGCTCCTCGTCCATGGCCGGGTCCTGCATCAGATCCGCTTTGTCAGGCAGAGCTCCTAGAAGACACCAGGATTGGGGCGCAAATCCTGACTCAGTTCCCAGCCAGGCAGAGGCCCCGGGCCCTCATGTCCGTGGCACCCCACCCCGTTAGCACTTGGCAGGGCGCGTGGGGGCCACTGGACAGATGTAAGGGGCAGCAGATGACAGCTGATGCAGTGTCCTGAGCAAGCGGGATCCCCTCCAAGAGGCGATGGTGGCTGTGTTTAGTTCCTCCCCAAGGCCTAGCACTAGGCCCAGGCCAACCCCTACGGTCATAAATCATCCTGCTCCGTGTCCCTTGATAGGATAACCCCACTTTGGAAAGGGTAAGAAAATGCTGTCCTGGGCCAGGCGGGTGGCCGTCCCCCTTTAAAGTCTCTGTCTGTGGTCTCTGGGGTGCTTTCCTTAGCTCAGCCCTCCTGGTGCCCCTCTGATTGCAAGTGTGAGTGTGTGTGTGTAGCCAGGTGTGCAACTGGGAAGGTTCTTGCTGCAGGCTGTCGCTCTGCAGCACATATCTGGCCAGAGGAGTTGTGCTGGTTTCTGGAGAGACACAGGTTCAATTCCCTACTTCTCCAAGTCTCTTCCAGATCACCTTCCTGCCTGCTTTGGCTCTAATCTAGTGGTTTTCAAACTATTTTTCACGGGACCTTCTAATTTTGGATAGTGCCTCAGGGATGATGGGGGACAGTCATCTGTTACACAACTGGCTCGGAACAGAGTCTTTATTTGTACCCTGGAGGGCAGGTGAGGGTGGAAACCATGCAGTCCCTGCTCCACCAGCTTGGTGCTCAGAGCAGGTTCAGGGTGGCCTCTGTAAAGGCCTTCGAGCAGGCTGGCCGGGTGCAGCTGCCACTTAGCTTTTCCTGTCCCTTCTAGCAGCTGTCATTGGTGGGGGAAATGGGAGGAGTCAGTGGCCCGGGATGGAACGAACACCATGCAGCCTCCATTGGCTTCTGACTCCTCGTCTGCTGCCCATCGACCTCAAAATAACTGGCCTGTGAGGTGGCAGTGTGTCCTGTGCCCCAGAGAACCCTGTGGTGGGTAGTTAGTGAACACTAGTTTCCTTCTAGGGCTGGTTCTCTCCCTTGCAGGAAGGGTGTGCTATGTCTGTGAATCCCAGGTGCTAGATGTGGGTGTACACGGTGGAGGGTGGCTCACCAGTACATTCTGGGTGGGAAGGTGACAGAAAGACCATCAGTGACAAGAAATGGCAGGCATGGCTAGGGCTAGTCCCTCATTTCCTTTCACTCTTTGTCAGATTAACTGGACCCCCCCACCCCTACCCTGCCCAGCTGGGAAAATAAGGCCTCTTTCTCAGACACCTTTGCCCTATTTCTAAGTGGAATCTGCTGTCTCTGCTGTATCATCGCCAGAACCACTTGGGGGCATCGGCCTGTGGCCACCTGATGTCCTGGGATTCTGTGTGTGTGTGTGTGTGTGTGTGTGTGTGTGAGAGAGAGAGAGAGAGTGTGTTGGGGGGGGTTGCATTGGTGGCTGTCTCTTCATGTGACTCCAGGGCTGCTTACCCAGGGCCTGGTTGATGCCAGGGTGCTTGGAGAGGGTCCCCAGGAAGCCATAGAACGTCAGCCTCTGCACGCCATTCAGGATCTCCTTGACAAGGGCCAGGGGTGGGCAGCTGAGGGGACACAAGCCTGACTCAGAGACAAGCCCAGCTAAGGGCCCCCCTGGGCAGGGGATGGTGACCAGAGCTGCGACTAAGAGCAGGTGTCAGAATGGCCCTGGCTGGGACAGGGGGCAGATGCTGTTCTGGATGGTGCTTTCACAGGAGCTGGAGGAGGGAGTGGCTACCAGTGACCACAGATTGCCACACCGAGACTGGGTGTTTTCTGCCACACAAGCCAGCTGAACCTCCACTTTCTACGGGACAGTTTGGAACAGCAAATGCTCTTTCCTTCTTGAGAAGTCAAGGGCGGTCTGTATCTGGGCAAGCTGATTGTCTACAGTGGCACCGAGGGAAAGCAATCTTTCTCAGTGAGTTGGCTGGGAGGCCTTTGAGTCCCAGTCTGGTTCAGGAGCAGATGGCCCTGTCCTGATTTATATCATGATCATCAAAGGCTCTGGAAGCCTTGGCCCATCACAACACCCTCTCCAAACCCTGGGGCTGTGCAGAATCTGCGTGCCCTGTCCCCACCTGTACTTGTGCCGGTCACACAGGTTTTCCAGGCACTGGTAGAACAGTGACGCTTCCACTCCCTCAGGGACGCCAGCCTCACCCAAGGCAGGTCGCTGGCGGTACTGCCCACTGGACGATGTCGGCACAATCACTGTGTTGGGATTCTTGCCTGACAGCAGATCCTGGTAGATGGCAGCCACGCTGTCCAGGAATTCTGGGATCGTGGGAGTGGAGGAGATAGTTCAGACAGGAAGGATTCCGTGTGTCCTTGCACCGTGCCTGCCTGTCTGACAGCTCAGCCCCATGGCAGCTCAGTGTTCAGTGTCTGCTATCCCCAGAGCAGAGGCCACCCTCAGGCCACCCTCGGGTGGGATGAGGGCGGCACCTCCTGTGGCTGCTAAGGCTCCCCATGGCATGCTGCACACCACAGCACGCAGTCTGAGGCAGGCCTTCCGCGCTGTAATGTAAGGTCCCACACGAGGCAGGGGCCTGCCTTGTTGACACCCGCTGAGTGCTATATTTTGTTGGAAAAGCAAAAGTGTACGTGTTCCTGATGCTCAGCCCTGTGGTAAGGCTACCACCTCCCCAGCCCACAAAGCACAGTGGACACCCGGAGGAGCACAGCCAACACTGCAAGCTGCCAGTGTGGTCACCAGTTTCAGAGTCCTACAGTCAGTGCTTCCGGTCACCTTGCTGCTACCATGCCAGCTGTGCTCCTCTCTAGCAGTGAGGGAAATGACGTGGCTGCTCCTTTCCCAGGGCCAGGAGCCTCTGAGACCAGGGAAAACCATGCCTGCTGCTGCTGGAGCGAGTGGCCAGAGCCTGGGCTCTAGGCCCTGCCTGAACAGCCCTGCACTGCCACCGAGTAAACAGAATGTGGCGCCTAAGTGAGGCGGGGGCTGCCGGGCTGCCAGTTGGCAGGAAGGCCACCTCCAGTCTCCAAGGACAGCCTTCTGTTTACTGGAAGCACCCGTCTGAACGAATCTGTTTATGGCCACCGTCAGCAGTTTCTAAACCCCGCATTCCATTGGATGTCGCCTGTGAGCGCTTGGGCACATATCTATTTTTATTCCTCTGATTGCAGAGGGGACTTACGGGTGCAGTGGGGGTGAACCAGGGAGCGGAGTGGGTGTGCTAGGGACAGCTAGGTGTGCCCTTATTAGAACTGTGTGAGTGGCCAATCAGGAGCAGGGGCCAAAGGAGCAGCAAGGAACCCCTAGGGCTCCACCTTGGACTGGGCAGGTTTGCAGGAGGTAGAGAGTTTGATATTGTCACTGTCACTGTGATTTTAAAGGAGTTAGGCTCCAAGGGTCTCAGTGTCTTCAGGCGCCCAGAAGTAGCCTCTGCAGACTGAACTTTGCGACCACCAGTGCCAGCTGGAGATCCTGTTAGTGCCCGAGGTGATGCACACCCCCAAAGGAAGTGGGGGAGGGGAGCTCATGTGCCAGACACAGATGGACAGGACAGGACCCGCTCACCTGAGTAGTAAAACTGGATCTGGAAGGCGAAAAGGAAGTCTGAAAAAGACATCAAACAGTCCATGGCGTCGTCCATGAGCACGATCCTGAGGGGGAAGACAGCGAGAAAGAGAGTATGTGAGACAGCTGTTCTGAGGCCCCCACCCCTGCGACACAGGACATTTGGGAGAGGGCTCCCAAAAAGTTCCTTTCAGTCACCTCACTTTTGTGACTGGACTCTACCCCAAATGGAACTGGCCACCCTGTGCCAAGGGTGGACTCCAGCTCAGCATCGGTGGCACTGGCTGGTGGCCAGGCATGGGCAGGGGGTGGGGGTTTGGGGAGGCAGGAGGAGGTACAGTTGTAATGTGCACGGCCAAGGTTTCCTCTCATTCTGTAGTGAGGACCATTTATTTTTTTCCACTTTTTTTTTTTAATCGGTACTGGGGATTGAACTCATGACCATGAATTTGCAAGACAGGCGCTTATGCTGCTGAGCTAAATCCCTAGCCCGAGGACCATTTAATTCAGGATAAATATAGCTGATCAGAAAGGGCACAAAACAGCCAAGAGGTTTAAAGGGGCCTTGGTAGGTGGTACTGAGATTTAGCGAGCCTCCAAATGGCCAGAACAGTGAGTGGGACCTCTGTCCCGGGATCAGATGGCAGGCTGGGGAAGGGAAAGAGCTGTCTGGGACCTGGCTTGTGAGAGGCTCTGACGACCCACCTGTCTCAGTGCCCTGCTGTCCTTTTGGTCTCCAGTCCCTCCCACCTCACAGGAATTAAACTCTGGACTAGCTAAAGAATGTGACCAAGGCCATGTTCAGACTGCCCAGGCCCCAGTGAAGGGGCAGGAAGAGGTAGAAATCTCTCTTGCTGTGTTCCATCTGAGGGCCAAGGGGCTAGGGTTGGGCCACCCCAGGCTGCTCTACTGGAGGAGCTGGGTCCCCACCTATGTCTCGTGGGGCCCTTCTGGCCTTGGCTTTCCTTCACTTACACACAGTTCTGTTTTGCTGTCATGTGTTTTTCTTTTTTCTTTCTTTTTATCGGTACCGGGGATCGAACTCACGACTGCCTGCTTGCAAGGCAGGTGCTTATGCCGCTGAGCTAAATCCCCAGTCTCTGTCATGTGTTTTTCTAAGTCTCTACTTTCCAGTGTCAGGGCTCCCTAAGTGGGCAGCTGGAGAGCCATGGACAGTGGGAGTGGGCTTCACACAGAGGGCCTGTCCCTAGCACAACATAGGCAGCAGCTGATGGCTTCTAGCTCAGAGGCTGGAAGTGGCTCCTGGCTGGTCTACCTTGTGATCAGAACAAAATGGGTGCCATTTGCAAGTGCCTGGCAGCATGCAGGCCCTGTGCAATGTGTTCAGCCTCCTGGACATCACTTTTCCCCATGGCAGGCTACGCAGGGGTGGTGAGATTATTTCACCCAAGGGGCAAGCCTGACTTGCCCCACCGCTGCATTTCTGCCAGATCACATGGCCTCTTTGACATGAGACGCACTCGCATTTGGCCCTTGTCTTCCATGGCTAGTTTATCTTCTTTTTCTCACCTCTGTTGCAGTGTCTTGGGGAGAAAGAAAGCTGTCTCTACTACTAGGCTGCAACAAGAAAAATCCAACCGAAAATTCAGCTCAGCGTGGAGGGATGCAATGCTACAGAGGGCCACCGGGAGGCGCGCTGGCCCCTCACCTGCCGACTGTAGGACTGAGATACCCTGACCCCCACCCTGGCATTCCTCCTAACCTGAGGTGGACCAGGCCAGCTTCTGACATCAGGGCGGGAGGGAAGAGGGCTGCCAGGTATAAAGACACATAGACTACAAGTGGGGAGAGCCGTTCCTTCCTGCCCCTCATGGGGCAGCCTGCACCCTGGAGGTCCAGGGCACCTGAGCCTCTGCAGGAAGGTATCTCTTGTTTATCTCTTGCCTGGGACCCAAGGCCTCTCCTTATAGCTGTTACCTTCACTTATTTGTCTCTTTATTCTTTTATTATATTGTGATGTAACTAAAATACCATAAAATTCTCCTTTTAAAATTGTATGGTTCAGGGCCAGGTGTGGTGGCTCACACCTGTAATCCCAGTACTCAGATAGCTGAGGCTGGAGGATCTAGGCCAGCCTGGACTACACAGTGAGACTCTGTCTCAAAAAACAGAAAAAAAAAAAAAAGTATGATTCAGCGTGTTTTAGAATATTCAAAATTGTGTAACTGCCACCTCTGTCTAATTCCAGGAGCTGCCAGTAAGCCCTGGTCATCAGTGGTCCTATGACAGGGGTGCCCTGCCCTACTGAGGTTTTCCTGCCCCAGCCACAGCAGCACCCCCAGAGCCCACACTGGGCACATCTCTGGCATCCTTCAGCTTCAGATCTGGCCTGAAGCTTCCTGCCAGGGGTGGTTCTTGGTTTGAACATTGGCTACCTCTTGGTTGCTATATAATTTTTTTTTTTGAGACAGGGTCTCATTGTGTAGTTCAGGCTGGCCTTGAACTCACTGTGTAATTTTGGCTGGTTTCAAACTTGCAATGTTCCTCCTACCTCAGCCTCTGGAGCACTAGGTTTGCATACATGCACCACCACACCTAGCATGATTTTTCATTTTAAACACAAATAAGGTGCGCAAACAAGTTATCTATGTAGAAAGCGAGCAGTGTAGCCTTGTATTGGGATTGGTGATGCTTGCTGGTGACCAGAGGGGCTGCTCAGAGGAGGTGCTGTGAGCCAAGCCGGCACAGCACAGTGTGACGTCACAGCAGTCCTCAAAGCTACTGGGCAGCATGAGCTTTGTTTCAGTGTTGGGCATCAAGACCTGGCCTGCGAGTCCTTTCCGTACCGGAGTGTCCACCTGCTTCCTTAACTAGTCCCTGTGGATCTGCCTGAGTCCTATTGCTCAGCCCCAGCTCCAGGCCTTTGTATCTGTTCTGAGAAGGTCTCACTAGTCACCCAGCTGGCCTCCAGTTTGTGGTTCTCCAGCTTGTGCTTCTGCTTCCTAAATAGCTGGGTTACCGGTGTGTACCACAGGCCTGCCTCACCTTTTACATATTGATCAGATTTGAGCCAGATGAGCTGCTGGGCTTTAGAAGGGGCCTGAGCAGGAGACACTGCCACCCCACAGACAGCGCCAACCCTCCAGCCTCTGAAGAGCGGGTGGTAGTGGGATTCGAGCTCAGCAGGGCAGGGAACTCCCATGTACTTTTCTCCCACTGCCCGCCCCCCTTTTTTTCAGTACTGGGGACTGAACCCAAGGACTTTGAAAAAAAAATACTTTATTTTGTCACAAGGTCTCACTAGTTGCTGAGTTGCCTGGACTGGGTTTGGACTTGCAATTCTCCTGCCTCAGCTTCCCAGCATGCTGGCATTACAGATGTGCCTGAGCAGGGATGTGCTCTCTGTCTTTGTCCCTGCTGTTGTGTGGCTGACACTTACACAGGTCAGGAGGACCAGAGAGCAGCTGAGGGAGGCAGAGGCAGGGCCATCTTCTGAACCCAGCAGGCTACATGAAAAGCTTTGGTTGGAGGGCTTTTTCCCTCATGCACAGTGATGGTGAGCACCATGAAGTCAGCTGAACAGCAGCTCTCCTTACCAGCCATGCCACCCCTACTCTGCCCAACCTGACACCTGGCAGGTGTCCTGGACACCTCTCCTGTGCCAGCCCCATTAGTCCATCGCTGAGACTGGTTCATGGAGACTGTGATTATCCAGCCTCTGCCTTTGTCAGGAAGGTCACATGGCTCTCTACCCTCCTCCCGGCACTGCCTGAACCTCCTTCTAATGGAGGTCCACCCACACTGTGGTTGGACAGATCTTTTTGCAATACAAGTACATTTACCATGTCTCCCATGCCTTGTCTGGGTTCCCACTGCCCTCAGAACATAATTTTTGTTCTTCCCTGGGGTCAGGAGCCCCCCAAGCCGGCTTGTCTCAGCTCCTGGCTATACTCACATCCAGCTCTGCTGACCCCCAATCCCTGTGCTGTCCTCCTTCCCTGGGGCCTGTGGCTGCCTGCCCTAGTTCCTCCTTCTGACGTACTCCTGCCCAGGCTCCATGAGTAAGAAGGGCCAGGTGACACTGACATGACATCCAGCGTTGGGCAGCACATGCTGGAGGGACAGATGTGAAGGAGTGGGCAGTGAGCTGCTGTACACAGATGTTCCTGCAGAAGCCACGCTGCCCAAACTTCCTGGGGCTCAGTGTCACCCTGCATGGCAAGTGGCTGTCTCGAGGGCTGTGAGCACAGGAGACTGTGACAGACTCATGGTGAGGGGTCTTGCATCCATATCCTGCCTTGAATCTTACCATAACTTCGAGCCAGGGTGGGCAGGAGCTTCAGGTCTGCCTGTCCTCTGTGACAGGGCCAGTCCCAGTCCGTGGGCCTCCATCCCCCTAGACAGCGCCTTCATCTGCAGCGCATCCCCATCCAAGGGCTAGAGGAGGAACCTTCTGGGGTGAGGCCATGGCATGTGCCATTCCCCAGGGATGGCAGCTGACACCCCAGCCTTCCTGCCAGAGGCTGCACTATGGTGCCAGCTGCGCTGACACCTGTAGGGCTTGGCGCCTGCTCTGAAGCAGAGCCAGCCGAGCTGCTGCCAGCCAGAGTGGAGCAGGTCCCACAGGCCAGGCCTTGAGTGGGCAGGGGGCCCTGGGGCGAGGAGAGGCCTGGGTTTGACCATGTGCAGAGCGACCCAGGGTAGGCGAGGGCGTGAAGACAGTGCTTGGTAGGGCCCAGGTGAGGCCCAAGGGGCCTGGTCGCTCTCCTCCCCGTCTCCCTATGAAGCCAGTTGGCAGCTGGGGGTCAGCAGACACCAAGGGAGCAAAGCTTCCAGCCCACCCTACTCAGTCGCCAGCTTCTGCTTCCCTTAAGGGTCAGCTCCCTGGCCAGGGGAATGAGCTGGGATCAAATCCCAGTTCTATGGACCACTGGCCATGTTATCGTTCTCTCTGCTCTCAGTTTCCTCATCTGTAGGGAGGAAATGATCCAGTTCTTTTGCAGGCCTCTTGGGCAGAGTTAATGTGCAGAGTACTCTGCCGGAGGTATACCACTGGCTTACGTGCTAGAAGAGCCCATGTAGGTAAAATCGAGCTCTGTGGAAGGGAGTGCTGCTGGCTCCCAAC